CCTGCTGGGCTCCAGCAATCCTTCCGCCTCAGCCTTCCGAGTAGCCGGAATTACAGGCACTTGCCACCACGCCCGGCTAATGTTTTGATTTTATTGTAGAGATGAGGTCTCACCTGCCCAGGCGGGTCTCGAACCTGCGGGCTCAGGCAATCTATTCACCTCAGCCTCCCGAAGGCACGGGATTACAGGCTGAGCCACTGAGCCCGGCTAGACCATGTTTCCTTAAGCTTGAGTAGGTGAATCTTTTCTTTTTCTCTCTCTTTCTAATTTACTTTCTAAATAAACTATATTATCTCATCTAAAAATAAAAAAAAAATGTAGATATGAAAGGAGACCCAAAAACCTGGAATGTATTTATTTAAAAATTGTATATTTATTCTTGCATGTTTAGACCTCAGTCACCTTCAAAGTATTCTTTGTTTGATGCTATACACCTACTGTGATGCTTTTTCCACAACACAAAAATATTTTTGAACTTGTCAATTTGGGTGTCTTTTAGTGCTTCTGCTGTTTTTTATTTTACCTCTTCCACATAGGCAAAATATTTCCTTTTGAGAACTTTTTCCACAGGAAAACAAAAAAAAAAGACACTTGGAGCGAGATCAGGTGAATAAGGAAGATGGGGCATGAGAGTCATGCTGGTTTTTTTGTCCAAAACTGCTGAACACTCTGTGAGGCCTGAGAAGGTGCACTCATCATGAGATAGGCAAAACGCACTGAAAGAATCTCCCAAAAAAATTCACTGAGGCAGAACGCAGCCTCTCACAACAACACTAGCTGGTACACTGATGCTGATGGGTTCTTGGAACACTTACCTAGTGGGGGAAGTCTGTACTACAAGGGGTCTGCCCTCCAAAAGATAATTTGGGGTTTTTTGGGGTCCCCCTCATACCTACCCTCCCACCCTTCCGGTTATTGCAGAAGTTAAATGCACACAGGACTTTGAATAGCTGATATACTATAAAAGGAACCGGCATAGTTGAATACCTCCAGGGTGGGGGCCGCCATTCCCCCAGGAGCTCCAGGGAAGGGAACCTGCTGGGGGTGGGGCTGGTCACTGCCAAGTAGAATGAGGAGGGAGGCTGCACTCAGACTTTTCCTTCCTCCTCTCAGCCCCAGGGTGGAATGAGGAAAGAAGTCTGTCTTTTCTCTTCCTCCCCGCACCTGGAAAAGGCCTTGTCAACATTGACCCAGTGCATATGACTCACCCTCCAAGAGCACTCCCAGGCCAACTTCCTTTGCTGTCCCTGCCTCAGCATTCTTGTTTAATGGGTGCTGGCTTGTCTGTTGCTCGCTTGTTTTCTACGGCTGTTTCTTAAGTGTGTTGTCAGAGCCCCACCTGGCCTGCAAAGTTCAAGGTCCTGCTTCCTCTGCCAGCTTTTGTGTAGTTCAGAACTGGGTTCTGACACACTTAGATTTGTGTCTCAGTCCTCAATGAGAAGTGGGAAAAAGCAGGATCTGAATCCTGACTCCAGTTCTTTTCATGAGTCAGGAGTCCCCAACCCCGGGGGCCACAGACCAGTTAGGCCTGTTAAGAACTGGGCCACACAGCAGGAGGTGAGCAGTGGGCAAGCAGCGCTGGCCTTCTGTCAGATCAATGGCAGCAACAGATTCTTATATGAACGCGAACCCTATTGTGAACTGCACATGTGAGGGATCTAGAAATAGATCACAATAAATGTCATGCACTTGAATCACAATAAATGCACAATTAATGTAATGCACTTGAATCATCCCAAAACCATTCCTGCCCCCCATCTATGGAAAAATTGTCTTCCCTGAAACTGGTCCCCAACACCAGAAAGGCTGGGGACCACTGCCATAAGTTACTTCTCTCTAACCACACCCACCAGGGACCCAGCATGGAATAATCAGTCCACTGCATTTCCACCAGGTATTGTGCCTTTAAGACTTTTCAAACATAACTGTCTTACTGGGCCTGGTGGCTCACGCCAATAATCCCAACATTTTGGGCGGCTTAGGCAGGAGGATTACTTGAAGCCCTGTGTGCGAGACCAGCTTGTGCAACATATCAAGACCCATCTCTACAAAAAAAAATTTAATTTTTAAAATTAACCAGGTGTGGCAGTGCACACTTGTGGTTCCAGCTACTTAAGAGGTTGAGGTGAGAGGATCAATTGAGCCCAGGAGTTCAAGGTTACAGTAAGCTATGATCACACCACTATATGATGGATAAATGTCCAGTGGGTAGATGGACAGCCTGGGCAACAAGGAAAGGTCCTGTCTCAAAAAAATAAAATAAAGTAAAGTAAATACTAGGCTGTCCCATACTGACCCAGGCATCCATATATTTTATAACTTCCTCATTAGTTCCACTGTGCTGCCAAGTGTGAGAGCCAGAGCCTGGGACACAACCCTGCCTTGGCACACAACTGCCATGCATTAAACAATCCCACACTATCTTTTTTTTTTTTGAGTCAGAGTGTCACTGTGTTGCCCAGACTAGAGTACAGCAGCACGCTCACGGCCACTGCAGCCTCGACCTGCTGGGCTCAAGAGATCCTTCTGCCTCAGTCCTCCAAGTAGCTGGGACTATAAGTGTATACCACCACACCTGGCTAATTTTTTTATTTATTGTAGAGCCAAAGTTTCACCAAGATGCCCAATCTGGTCTCAAACCCCTCGGCTCAGGCAAACCTCTCTCCTCTGCCACCCAAAGTGCTGGGATTATAAGCATGAGCCACCATGCTTGGCACCAAACTTTCTTATAGGAAGAGATGCCTGATGTTGTAAAAATCCCTGCCTCCCATCCCAGCCCCACTGAATCAGAATTACCAGGAGATGGACCTGGAAACTGTACGTTTAACTGATGTTCCAGGTGCCCTTGCCATTAAAGAAGACCAGGAAACCCTGTACTAGAAAAGCAGGTTTCAGCATGTTCCTGAAGACACCTGAGAAAAATACATCCTAGGATCCCTTCCCAACCTATTGACCCAAAACCCTAGTACAAGGACCTAAGAGTATGCATTTCACCAACACTCCAGATGATTCTTCCATACTCCAAAGTCTAAGAGCCTTTGTCCTAGAGTTGCAGCAAATCAAATGCTCCTCCCTACCCCGGAGCCCAATGTGGCCAACCCAGTAGCACTCACGGGTGACAATGAAGAGGTCAACCCAGACATCCTAGTAGGAGTGTCTGGCCTTGGGTTTGTAGTAGTGTTGTTAAGTTTGCATTTATCTGTTCACAGTTTTTCTCCTTTGTAACTTGTGGTGGAGATAATGCAAAATGGCTGGATCTGGGTGAAGATCAAATTTGAAGCCATTAGAATACAGCTTAGCAGCATGTGACATTCACACTTTCAGCTAGCTCTCCAACCATTGATTGATAGACCACAGAGACAATAACCAGTTAGTCACACATCAATACACATCAGTGCCTAACACATTGCATGCTGTTAATCAACTCTGTATGGGATGGATGGGTGGGTGGATGAATGAATGAAAGAATGCTTGGCTAAATGGGTGGAAGGGTGGATGGTGGATGGGTGGGTAGATAGGTGGATAGATTGATGGATAGGTAGGTTCTTAACTGAGGGATGTATAAATAGGTGAGTGGATAGATAGATGAGTAGACAGATGGGTGGATGGGATAGGTGGAGAATCTGACTAACTGAGATCTGTCTTCCTTAGAACTGGACATCCCATTCGTCTTGTTCTTGATCGTGAAGATGATATGTTAATAACTGGGGGAAGACACCCATTATTTGGAAAATATAAAGTGAGTATTGAAGATGAACTTATTAAAATACCTCATTTTACTTGGTTCTGTTCTTTTCTATTATTTTGATTTTGCTATGTTCTAAAACCAAATAATCTTAGCATCTAAAATATTAAATGAGAATGCTGCATATTTGCATACTTATAAGGAATTTTATGAGGAACTTTTAACAAATCTAGTGTATAATTTTGAATAAGTTTAACGATAAGAATATAATTTCAAGTAATGATAAAAACACTGCTTGAAGGAGCAAAGATTTGCATTAGTGGATCCTCAAAAACAAAATAAAAACTGAAAGAATCTACAAACAATGTTACACCAAAACTTCTTGACTACAAAAATATTATTTTGAACCAGGCATGGTGACTCACACCTATAATCCCAGCACTTTGGGAGGCTGAGGATTGCTTCAGCACAAAAGTTCAAAACCAGCCTGGGAAACATAGTGAGACCTTGTCTCCACAAAAAACAATAATAATAATAATAATAAATTCATTGGTTTTGATGGTTTGTGCCTGTAGTCCCAGCTACTCAGGAAGCTGAAGTGGAAGGATCACCTGAACCCAAGAGTTTGAGGCTACAGTGAGCCATGATCGTGCCACTGCACTCCAGCCTGAGTGACAGAGAGAGCCCCTGACTCAAAATTAAATAAATAAATAAATTATTTTGCAGTAGAAATATTTGGAAACAACTTGACCATTTTAACTGCAAGATCATTTTTACAAGTGTTTCCACCAAGTGGTTATGAAGTGTCACAAAAACTCTTTGCAGATAGGAAAAAAGAATCTACTAACTACTAAATTTTAAATTATTTCAAACCACGTTCATTGCATTTTGATGCAACTATAGCATAAACACTATTAAAAATACTTGCTGCCATCTGGTTGACTACTTTTGAAATTTGTGACTGAGTTGTTAGGTTAATCCTAATGTAACACAAAGGTGTCGAAAGTGCTTTCTGTGGGAATTGTTGTGGCACACACAGAGACTTCCTATCTAATTTGTCATTGCCTTTGATTATTAAGTTATTACCCTTCCTGTATTACTAAAGCCACAGCTTTCCATACCACGGCACGATTGTGTTTCTTCCATTGGCGTTACTAATCTTTATAATTAGAGAGGAAGGAACTACACTTGGCCACTAAGCTGTTTGTTTGCCTTCAAATGCACAGAAATTAACAGTCACTGCTATTATTATCTCCTAGAACCAAGCAGTGCAGAGGCACACTGCTGAGATTGAGGCGGGTGCTGTTGTTAAGGTGGTTGCTGCAGTCACACCTATAATCCCAGCACCTTGGGAGTTCCAGATCAGCCTGGGCAACATAGCAAGATCCCATTCCGACAAAAAATTTAAAAACTAGCCAGGTGTGGTGGCATGTACCTATAGTCTCAGTTACTTGGGACTGAGGCAAGAGATCACTCAAGACCAAGAGTCTGAGGCTGCAGTGAGCCATGATCTTGCCACTATGCTCCAGCCTAGGTGACAGAGTAAGACCCTGTCTCTAAAAAATAAAAAGCCAGGCTCGGTGGCTCAACCTGTAATCCCGTGCCTTTGGGAGGCTGAGGTAAGTGGATTGCCTGAGCCTGCAGGTTCGAGACCCACCTGGGCAGCGAGACCTCATCTC